ACACTTGATCCCTGATCATGGGAGAGAGCCCCTGCTACAGGAGGGGAGCCCTGGGTGGTCCACGCCTCTGCGCAGCCTGCAGTGAGTTTTAAGCTCCATTAAGTATGTGTGTCAATACCTACACTTTGGGACTGGCAGCCACCTGCAAAGCATACAAGACCATTCTCATTCAGTAGGAGCTGAGGGCAGTGTGTGAAGGTGAGCTCACTTTAATCACAGGAGATGCCAGCAATGGGTATTGAAATCTAACACATCACAAGCTTACCATAATGTTAAAGTTTGCTGGAAGATTACAGCTGAGTTATGGCTGCTCAGTATAATTTCACTTCATTAAAAACTTATGGTTCCAGAAAATACATAGAATAAATACAGCAAAACTTCTCTGGTTTTGTAAGCCATTGATAAAAATTAGTTCAATAGTTGAACCAAAAGTGTTCCGCTTCAGTTAGCTGAAAAGTTAAAATTGTAAAAGTGAATAAAACTGTGAAAAATTAGTTTTGAATTCAGTGGCAGTTATTATAGGGGTTTGCCCCCTCTGACCTTTACAGACCCCGGGGGTTTGCCTGGCTTGTCCAGGCTGGGGCAGAGGTGGGATTTCTGTGCTGGAGGAGTGCATGGGTTGGTGGCAGGAGCTCTCGGAGGAGAGGGATAAGCCGTGCCTCCTCTCCATTAGAAGGCACCAGAGATCCACCACAGCGCTCCCATTTCTCAAGCCAGGAAAGCTGGCGGTGGCTGTTGTGCATGACGGGCGACTTAGAGAGCCCACTTCACTTCCATTGAGCTGCTGCTTCTTGTACGAGTGCAAAAATTCCCCGGCTTGGGACGTCTCTGAGCTGACACATAGAAAAGCTCCATTTCTTGAGAAAACTGGGGGAAATGTTTTACTGGTTTTGTTCTTTTTTTTTCTCTAAGAGTGCCCTCTTTTATTGCTCTGGGACACGAGGCTCTCTGTTTCCCATGGAAAATGAATCCCCCTGCTGCCCCAAGCAGAATGGTGTTTTCCCATTGCCCAGTGGGGAACAGAGTCGGCTGTTTCGCAGGAGCTGTTGCAGAAGAGCTGCCTTCTGCCCTCTCATTTGCTGTTTCTTTGGCCTACTCAATAATTAGGCTTTAATATTTAGTTTCTGCCAACATACAGAGATCCTGAAGCTCTCCAGATGAGCCACCCTGCAGAGAACTGGACTACTACTTTTGTAATATTTCCACTACTGATTCTGCTAATTTTACTGAGTTTGTCCTGGATTATAGCTTTTGTTGGAAACAAAATCTGAAGAATAATGTTTAGAAAAGAATTCTAATTAAGGTAAAAATTTTCAAGCTTTATGTAAATCACTCATGTGAAAAGTCAAATAGAAAGGATTCTCAATCCAGCAAATTTTAGTCTGTTCAGAAAAAGCTGCTTCAGACATACAGAAGACCACAGGTGGATCCTCTGAAAGGTAGAGTTTGGTATTGGGCTGGGAAGAAAATCTCAGGCATCTCCTGATACTGGAGCTGTAGATAAATCACTGACAATTCCCTGAAGCATGAACACCTTATGTGTTCCACCACATATGTTTTACTTTAAACCAGTTTGTTGCTTTATTTCTACGTGGCAACTGCTGGATCCCCATCCTTGCTGTAGGGCTGTGCAGGTCATCTCCCAGGACAGGAGCTGGTGTCCCCACATAGAGCTTACCTGCCCCCAGAGCTCTTGTAGCTGTCCTCACCTCAGAGCTGGGTGCTGAGGACAGATGTCCACTGGCCCAACCCAGCCCTGCAGGAATGCAGCCTCTTTCTCCCTCTGCAGTCCATGGCTCTTTATTTCAGACAAATTGGTTTAGATAGCTTGGGGGAGCCCCAGCTGTGTTTCAGCTTATTGGTTCTTCTCTAATACCTGAATATGGCTAAAATTGTGTAGCTGCTCTGTCTTCTGTCTGCCCTGGGGCAAGGGCTGCTCTTCCTTAGAGCCCTGGGAATCTGAGCCTGCTCCTGGCACCGAGGAATGAGAAAAGTCGGTGTCCGAAGAGTCTGGACAGTGGGGTAGGAAATGTGGTCTCTCTTTTTACAGGATCCGTTCGGGGGAATGTGAACGGGCAGGGGAGGCAGCGTGACCCCGGCACTTGGGATCGGAGCGATCGAGGCTCGGACAGGACACCCCCCCCCCCCCCCCCC